CAGAGGGACTAAGGAGCCGGTGCTGCAGATCCTCTTCCATGTGCTGGAATACTGGCCAGCGCACAGGAGACGCACCTCTGATGGGGATGAGAGGGATGTCTTTGCCCTGGCTGTGAGTTTCTTGAGCTGGCCTCTGCTCGCCCCTAGGTTGCCTCTGGGACGCCTTTCCATCCTCCCTCACCACTGCTTTTCCCTGCCCCAGGCACTGGGCTGCAAGCCTGGCTTAGGGGCAGGTTCAGGGACACCAGGCTGGGGGATCCCCCTGTGTCTCCTCTGGCCTGTCCCTGCCACGCTTGGGCCCTGCCACATGGACATCTGGGCCCTGAGAGCTGTCTCTGGGTGCTTTGTCTTTGGCAGGCAACTGTGGCACTTTGGGAGATCCTCCAGCTGTCCCACTCCTGGTGCCCAGGGGGAGTGAAGGACAATTTCCCACGCCTCCTTCTGACTCTGCTCTTCCAAGTTTTCATCAGCACAGAGGAGATGTCAGAGGAGGTCGAGACCTTCTGGAGGCAATGCCGGGAGCAGCGCACCCTTCCCCCCAACCCCAACAGGTGCTCCATCCCAGTCCCCTCTCCCTGCCACACCCTCGGGGCTGGGGCCAGGGCTCTGTGCCTGACCTGGGCTGTGCTCTGCACACAGGTTTGCAGTGCAGACCGTTAAAGCCCTGCTGCGCCAGCTGCTGGGTGAGGACGTGTTGATGGCGATCGGTCGCAAGTGTGGCTGGGACATGCTCCTCAAGGCTGACAGCCACCACTATGCAGTGGGTCTGCTGGCCAGGTGAGAGCCCTTTCTCCCCACTACCCCTGTCATTTCTGCCCTGTGCACAGGCCACCCCACACAGTGCCCGTGTGCTGGGCCAGAGGGCCTTGGCAGCCAGGGATGGCTGAGCAGAGTGGAAAAGGCGGAGAGGGGCGGCTGCACAGGAGGAGCCACCTCCCAAAGTGCCCATGTCCTCTCCTGGGCTGGTGGCCAAAGACCAGGCCTGTGTGAGTCAGTCCCAGGAGAGCTTTGCCCACCTGGCTCAGGGTCTCTGGCACCTTTATTCCCCCTTGCAGGGAGCTGTGCCGTGTCTCCCGCTCCTTCGGTCGCACCATCGCCGTCAGCCTGCTCCCGCGGCTCAGCAGGGGAGAGCCCCTGTGGGAACTGCCTGCCCTGGCGTTCCTGGTGGAGGTGAGCCTGATGGCGAGCGCTGCCTGGCCCAGCTGCCTCCCCCTCGCTGCCCTCTCACAGCCGCAGCCGCCCGGGACGGTGCCTGCACCCTGTGCTGCTGCCTGGGCCCAGCCCCGGGCGGGTCCGGGCTCCTGCCGGCCGGGCACCCCGTCACTGCTCCCTGCCTTTCAGGTCCTGCACTGCCTGAACGCCAGACAATGTGGGCCCAGCGTCCTGCAGATTATTTCCAGGCACCTGCGCAGTCAGTGCCCGGAGAGGCGTCGCCTGGCGCTCCGAGGCCTGGTGGTGCTCAGCAAGGCTCCCTCAATGGTGAGCAGGGGGCAGGGGCTGAAGCCGGGCCGGCAGCGTGCGGCTGTGCAAGGCAGTAGCTTGGCCTTGGCTGGCCTTTGGTAGCTGTGGCAGCTGCTCCCAGCTCTCCCCCTCCCCGTTCAGCTGCCCGACTCCTTTGGGACGCACCTTTGGCCTCTGGGCCCCGCAGCAGCAGCGTGGGGCTGCACCACAGCATTGTGTTCCACACAGGCTAAGAGCATCCGGAGCCTGAATGAAAGCCTCCTGGAGCTACTGCAGGATGCAGACACAGACACGGTTCAGATGACCCTCTCTGTGTTCATCAATGTGCTGGGCTTGAAAATCATCCAAATATCCAGCCCCACTGCCCTGAAGTTTCTTGAGGCGCTGCGGCCACTCTTTGATAACGTAAGGCTCTGTGCCCCTCATCGTGGGCACTGAGTGCTGCCAGGAAACTTTGGGCCCAGTGTCTTTTCAGGCCTGTGCCCTGGTGGGCCTGGAGAAGCCAGTGCTGAGGTCTTTTCCTCTTCCTTTGCACCAGGAGCACAGCCAGCTGCAGCAGCTCTCCATGCTCCTCTTCCGGGAGCTGATGGAGGCGACAGAGAGGAGCAAGAGCCTAAAGCCACACGTGTACCTGAGTCTGGTGCCATTCTACTTCAACTGGCACGATGAGAACCAGCGTGTGGCAGAGGTGAGGACTCGTGGGCTCCGGTGTCCTCATGGCAGGAGGCTGTTGTGCCTCCTGCCCTGGCCCATGGTCGCCTGCAGCCTCCTCCTGGCCTTGGCGCAGGGATGTGGGTGCTGTGCCCTGGGCTGCGGTGCCATGACCCACTCTCTATTGCTGTGCAGGCCTCTCGGAGAGCACTGTTTGGTGCAGCCAAGTTCCTGAAGTGGAGGGATCTTGAGCACTTGGTGACCATGGAGCAGCCGTGGAGGTTTCCCGAGTGCCTGGTAAGGACGGCCCCAAAGCCCCAGCCCCTGGCTCCCCGGGAGCACCCAGCCCTCTGCTCCCTCCAAACCCAGCCCCAGCAGCTGCTGGCCAGGCCTCAGGGCTCTGCGGGCAGGGGAGCCCCGTGCTGGGGACAGGGAGCACCGGGCCAAGGGGCAGAGCCTGAGCCGAGCCTTCCCTCCGTGCCCTGGCGCTCTTTGCAGCTGGAAAAGGACAGGAGCCGAGTGGGCCAGTACGTGCACCAGGCCCTGCCGTTCCTGGAGAGCCCAGAGGAGCCCCTGCGAAAGCTGGCCATCAAGTTTCTGGGTGAGCCACAAGGCCAGGGTCCCTCCCCGCCCCGCTGCAGCTCGGCCCCAGCCCCGGCTGCTGCAGCGGCAGCAGGATGCGGCCCAGGGCATGTGGAGCCCCGAGTGGCCCCGAGCGCCTGCTGCCGCCCTGTGCCAGCCCAGACCTGGGGCGTCCCCATGTGGGAAGGCCCCGGGCTCAGCCCTGCCAGGGCAGGAGGCCGTGTGGCCGGGCTGGCAGCGCCGCTGCGGGGAACCTGTGCCTCTGGGGCCTGACAGGCTCTGTGTTCCCAGGGATCGCCGCCAGGTCCATGAAGCAGGAGCAGCCAGAGCTGCAGCTCATCTGCCAGGGTGAGCGAGAGCACCTTCCAGCTGATCCCCTTGGGCCCTGCTCCCTCCTGGCCATGGCAAGAGCTGGCTGGGATGGCCCTGGCAGGAGGGGCTCCTCGCATCCCCACACCGCTGGCCTCTCACCTTGGCTCTCTTCCTTTCTCTTTCAGCCCTTCAAGGCATCACTGATGACAGCCCTGCCGTCTCAAACCTGGCCATTGAAACGCTCCACATCATCAGAGCTGTACGGAGAACTCCATTCTTCCCATTCTGGTAGTCTCCGTTGCTGCCTCTTCCAGCCCGTAGAGGCATGACAGATGACATCAGACTCGCCATGGCAGGCCTGGCAATTCAACACTGCTACGTGCCAAGAGCTGTACAGATGGCTCCCTACTGCAGATTCCAGCAGCTCCAAGACTGGCTGTGCAGGGCGTGGCAGGCCCGGCCTTTTCCGCAGGGCAGTGTCTGCCTGTGCTGCTGCAGCTCTGTGGAGAACTGATGCAGGAAGCTCCATCTCCTGGGGCCACCTAAGCCTGTGGGGAAGATGCCTCTTCCCTGCAAGCACCTCCTTTGATCCCAGCATGGGAACATGACCAACATGTTATCACGCACAGAGGCCCAGGAGCTTTTTTTAAGTGCCCAGTGTGCACAGGGCCTTGGGAAGAGGGGAAAAGGGCTCCCCGTGCTCAGCAACATTTGCCCTGCTGTGCAGAGTGCCAGCAAAAGACCAGCAGGGGAGGGGGCGCTGGGAGGCCAGGAAGGGGTGAGGTGCTGTGGAGGCCCTGATGGGACAAGGGAGCAGGAAGCCTTGAGGGGAATCTGGGAGGGGGTGGGTGGCAGAAGGCTGTGAGGGGACAGACTGGGCGCAGGCCCCGAGGGGCAGGGTGGAGGGAAAGGCCCCCAGGACTTGGGGGGCAGAGGCCATAAGCAGCCCCCAGGCAGCCACCTCCTTCCCTGCCAGCCAGCTGCTCTGGTGCTTTCCCGAGGCCCTGTGGCAGAAGCCCTGGAGGCCAGGCCTCAGCAGCAGGGAGGGCACACCCCCAAGGGGGCCAGGCTGGCCTGGCTGGGGACAAGGAGGGCAAGGGGGCCCTGCCGGGGCACGTCCGCCGGGTGCTGCCGGCGAGGGGCAGTGGCACAGGCAGGGCTGGCGGCCAGCCCGGGCCCCCACGGCTGCCCAGGCCACGGGTCTGTGGCCAACACCCCCCTGAGCCAGAGCTCTGGGCCCACAGAGCTGCTGCCACCACGGGCAGGGTGCTGGGCTCCTCGGGCAGGGCTGCGCACTCGCTGCTGCCCAAGCAGCTCCTCATCCCACAGACAACAGCACCAGAGGCTGCCCAGGAGCAGCAGCACCCACAACGCCTGGGCCTCCTCACCCAGGCACCCACACCCGCCAGGACACCAAAAGTGGGCAGACTGTGGGCACAGTTGCACCCGCTTTGGCAAAAGGCTTCAGGGCAAGTGGCCACCACAGCTTTCCAGTGACTCCCCAGCCTCACAGCAACCCTTGGCAGCTTCAGCTGCAGCCTGACATCCTGACTGACTTCAGTGGTCCTGCTTGAGGCTGGACATGCCTTCCACACTCAGCTGTCCCCAGCCAGCACCACTGGTGCCATCCTCTGCTGGGACACCAGCCTCGGGCTGCAGCTGCTCAACCTCTCCTCCACACAAGCACCTTCAAAACACAGGCATGGGCTTCTAAACTCTACGTCCAACACTTGAGGGCAACAAAGGAAGAAACAGCAGAAGTTGAAGCAAAGCAGGGCCTCGTGTGGCGGAGCTTCAGGGATGGAGGGAAGTAAGCACTGTGGTGTCTGCTGAAGAGATGGCCCAGTTCACCAGCTCACACTTTGCTGCTGGACGTTCCTCCTTTGGTCCTTTTCTGGAGCCCATTCCCTACCAGTGCATGGCCCTGCCTTGTTCCTGGATCCAATCTCCGGGAGCCCTGGCAACAAGTGGGCCCTGTGTCCACCTGAGACCAGAAACTGGCAGAACGTCTCTGCTTCCAGCACTTCTCTTGGTTGCTCCTTCAGGTGGGTGGCACCTTCATGGGAGACACAGAACAGCTTCTCATCCCAGACTTCTCCCTGTCCCCTGCACTTCCCCAATGGACTGGACATCAGCTGCTGGCCACAGCTGAGCACACAGAAACTGGAGTGTTGAACATGCAAGACTGGGCTGATTTTTTTTCCAGAAGGCAAGAAAACAAGCAAAAAGAACACAAGGAAGCTTGAGAGTCTCTCTGTCTAATCTAATTGTCCTGTGAAACTCAGCAGCTGATGGTGGCTTTGTGCTGCTGCTAATCACTTCCACCCAAAAATCATGCCAGGAAGGAGCAACAGCTTCTGCCTTCTGACAGATGCCAAGTCTTGCCACCAATTGCTCCAGCTGCCGCTCCCAACAGCCACCTGCAAGAGGGCAGACCTCAGTGCCCCTTGGCTTTGACTGCCCTCTGGCAGAGAAGTACCCTGAGGACACAGCTCTTTGGGGCAGGAGACGGGCAGCACCCTTGCCAGGACTCAGGGCAGTGGCAGGTCTCCTCCGGCCAGGACTTGCCAGAGGCTGTCCCTCAAGAATCCCAGGAGGAGGCAGGGAATGCTGAGCAGAGCAAGCCCTGCCCGGATGTCCCATTGGGAAGACACTGTTCTAGGGGGAATTCACTGGGTGTACCAACTCTTCCTGACTGGTTTAATGACTCAACCATGGTGTGTCCCTGTCACTCAGATCCCTTCTTGGCCGCACCTGACGTTGTGATTCGTGTGACTGACAATACCTTTAACATCCCTGTAAATATTCCTTGTTATTTTAGTTGTATCACAGATCAAAACGTATCTGCCCTCCATTTATTATTAATAATTCCCATGGGCAGAAGAGCCAAACTGGGGCTCCCAGTGAACCTAAGCAGAAGCTGGGAAGATGAGGCAGGATACAGTGAATTAAGGAAACTGTGAAATGCAGAAATCCTCAGTGGATGGATGATTGCTTGGATCATCTCTGCAGCAATCCCGGCAGCTGCCGCAGCCACGGCTCCTGCTGCACTGGCCATTCAGTGCAGGCCATGCCTGCAGTGCCAGTGTATGGGCACTGTGGCAGCATCAGGAGCAGGGGTTCAGAATCTACCTGGTTTCAATATTCCAAGTCCTCAGGAAGCGCATGGGACAAGCCCCAAGACAAGAAGCCCGGGTCCTGGCCCTCTTGGCCCTGAACTCTGCGTGTCCAAACAAAACAGGGGCAGAGGTGGGACCAAGCGGAGTCACTCTGCACCTGCCCTGAGTTCATGGGAATGCAAAGGGAGGATGGACCTTGGCTGAGTGCTTGGAGAGAGAGAAGGTTGTTTCTCCAAGTGGAAATGCACTTGAACCAGCCTGCATGACCGGCCTGTGTTTTTCTCTGGTGGCTGAACACAGCCAGCACATGAGGGGAGGGGAATGTGTGTGATCAGGGCACTGCTTTTGGGCCATGCTGGGAATTCCAGTGGACTAACAGACAAAACACCAAGTGCTGCTCGTGAGAGAAGAAGAATAAAAGGGGATACAGAAAAGTATCAGTGGACAAGTCCCACAATGGAACTCTGTGTGTGCAGCCTCATTTTCTCCTTCAGTGCCCACAGGAGAGGGGGCAAAAAGTGGGGGTTGGGACCCCAAAATTATCTGGGGGGGAAATGGGGTATTGAGGGGATAATGGGAAAGTGCGAGGAACAGGAAGAAGAGTGGAAAAGAGGGGGTGGTCTGGTGGGTCCGACGGTCCCATGGGGGTCTTTGGGCACAGGGGGGCTGGGAAGGGGGAGTGGCCCCCTGAGCTCCCAACTTCCTGTGGGGTGCTGGGGGCTGCTGGATCCAATCTCAGCCTTGGATTATGCCAACACTTTCAGTTTAGAGGAATTGGAGAGGTGTGACTGAACCACTTTTGTCCCCCAGGTTTTAATGATGGCAAATCAGATCTATTAATAGAAATGAACTTATTTAGGGTTACAAATGATCTGACAAAAGATCTTCATCAGAATTAATTACTGCACAATAGAAACTAAAACTACCAGGAGTACAGGATAAGATAGGATGGTGCTCAAGCAATTATTGAAGCAATTCTACTAGACCTGGTAAAACCCAATAATTCTTAATCAGAGACGGATGCAACGCTCGTGGGGAGATCTCTGCTCTCATCCTCCACGAGTGACCTTGGGGGGGTCACCAGCAAGGCAGGAATCTCCATCCACACCCCAAGAAGGGTTCTGGTGGTGAAAGGGGACTGGCCCTTTCTGGTCGAAAGGGATGGACAGACAGTCACTGGACTCCAGGGGTTGCCTCACCATCAGGGGGTTCATTTGGGGTGGAAGCAGCGGCCGAAGCTCTTCCCGCAGTCGGGGCACTGGTAGGGCTTCCCTTACTGGTGGGTCCGTTGGTGTCTGGTCAAGGCAGAGCTGTGGGTGAAGCTCTTCCCACACTCCCCACACTTGTACGGCTTCTCCCCAGTGTGGGTGCGCTGGTGGGTGACAAGGTGGGAGTTCAGTTTGAAGCCCTTCCCACAGTCGGTGCAGCGGAAGGGCCTCTCATCCGTGTGCGTCCGCTCATGCAGGAGGAGATTCCCACTGGTCTGAAACCTCTTTCCACATTCCAAGCACTTGTAGGGTCGTTCTCCGGTGTGGATGAGCTGGTGAGTGTGGAGGTTAGAGCTCTGGCTAAAGCTCTTCCCACATTGCCCACACGTGTAGGGCCGTTCCCCAGTGTGGATGCGCTGGTGGGTGACAAGGCTGGAGTTCTCATTGAAGCTCTTCCCGCAGTCAGTGCAGCAGAAGGGCCTCTCATCAGTGTGTATCTGTTCATGCCTGAGGAGATATGAGCTGGTCCTAAACCTCTTCCCACATTCCAAGCACTTGTAGGGCCATTCCTTAGTGTGGATGTGCTGGTGGGTGCGGAGGCTGCAGCTCTGGCTAAAGCTCTTCCCACATTCCCCACACAAGTAGGGCCGTTGCCCGGTGTGGATGCGCTGGTGGGTGCGGAGGTTGGAACTCTGCCTGAAGCTCTTCCCGCATTCCCCACATGTGTAAGGACGTTCCCCAGTGTGGATGCGCTGGTGTTTGCAAAGGGTGGAACTGTCCCTGAAGCTCTTCCCACATTCCCCACACGTGTAGGGCTGTTCTCCAGTGTGGATGTGCTGGTGGCGGATTAATTCGGTGCTCCACCTAAAGCTCTTCCCACATTCCAAGCACTTGTAGGGCTTCTCCCTGCTGGGAGGCTGCTCAGGGACCACCAGGTCAGAGCTCTGGCTCAAGCTCCGGCCGCCTTCCCAGCACAGGCTGGCTCTTTCCTCCTCAGAGCAC